GACACCGGTTGACACTGCTTATTTGGGACACCCATGGTGTTTCTTTCAAAAAAATTAATGGTTCATATCTCCTACCTCCCTAAACCTTGCCCCCCCCATTCTGTTTGCAGTTTGACAATAATGTTTCTGGTTGCCAAACAGTGAACGGATCACTGTAGGCACCCCAAATGAGAAGTGTCCACCGGTGTCACCATAAGGGAAGTGTCAACTGCTCCTTTTCGTCTTTGAGGTTGGTTTCGTTTACCCCGCCCTGGTTAACACTACAACGCCACAACGTTTTTGGAGCAGCTACAGTATTTTGCTCGCAAAATTGATAATTTTTACCTATGGTCAAATATTGTTTTTTTATTTATTTTTGTTATTAATTTGATAAAATAATATAGTAATGTCATCATCTTGTTTTGTAGAGCTTTTGACATAATTTTAAATATGTAATTTTTATTTTTTAATTTCATTCTAATTTTAAATAAATTTATTTGAAAATAATTTAGTCAAACATTGTAAACTGAAACATGTGATTTAATTTGGGACAAAGGGCATATCAATTTTGCAAATGGACAGCGCAAGTCCATTTGAGTTGATGTCATGAGATACACTCAAAGTTACTCCAAAAAATATCGAGCCGAACATTTGGATATAATATTACGGGGTAGTTTCTCATACTTTTTTGTTAAATAATAAAATTGTTCTTAAAATTTGGTTCAAATTTTATTATGTGTGTACTGTATTTTTAATTGAGTTTCATTTTTGTGTGAATGAATTTAACAATATTTACGCACATTTGAAACATTGTTTTGTTACCGTTCAATATAAATCGCCTGTTTCGGGTTGCGATGTTTGGTTGAAATTATTTATAAAATATGTTAAATGAAAGATGGTGTAAAATTTAAAAATAAAAATTACAAACTCCCTCCGTCCCGAATTGGATAACACATTCCAAACTTGTAAGATTTCATCATTTTTAAAATTATTTTAATTATAATATATTAGTTTAGAAATGAAAAGTATAAATTACACCGTTTAAAAGTATATAAAAGACTTTATAAAATATGAGATGACAAGAGTATTTATTATCGATGAAAATATAAAAATAGACAAAAGTTATCGAGAAGCCGTAATAATGATAGTGACATCTAATTTGGGACGAAGCGAGTATTTAAAAACTATATCAAAAGATATACAAAATTAGTAATGATATGACTATATTATTTACCAAATGACTCATAAAAATAAAAATAAAAAAGAGAGTGAATTTTGATCATGCGCATAGTAAACATACCGTTTAATTTTGAACATATGAAAGATAAATTAAGTTCCATAAGTAT